AGATGGAGGCCATTTTGAATAAATCTTTTTATTTATTGTTGTTTCTGTTGTTTTGCTAGGTTTTAAATAAAAATTTGTAGAGAAAAAGCGTTTAAAACAAGATAGATGTAGGTGTTCCGTTTATTTATTGGCACCCTGTATCTTTAATATGTATACTGGAGGAAACTGCTCTGGTGGTTGTTTTGTGAAGCTGTTAGAGAGGGTCTAACGAGCGCCACACTCATCAGATAAGAATGTCGAAGAAAACGTGTGGTGAAGTCAAGCGGGAAGAGCTGACTCTTGAAGCCTACGAAGCTCTTAGAATATTCTTTTTTAATTGTGTCAATTGCTCGTAATGATCTATCTATTGATACTGCTGCTGACTGTTTATACAAATATTTATCAGTGTTAATAATTATTATTTTAAAATACGAATTTCTTAATTCAGTATTAATCGTACACCCTGCCACTAAATAAACGGAACACCTACATCTATCTTGTTTTAAACGCTTTTTCTCAACAAATTTGACTATATTTTTATTTTTTAGTATACAGAGAGAAAGGGAATTATGTAAATGCTTTGAAACAATATGAATTAGCTGAGGAGATATTTAAAACTTCGGAGCCTATTCAGCCATTGTATCTTGCCATTGTTTGTCATAATATGGCTTTAACTTGCTTTCATACATGTGACTATTCAACAGCCTTAGATTTTTATCATTTATCACTTAATATGAAACGAACAATTCACGATTTAGATCCGTTAGACTTAGCTGCATCATACAGTGGTATCTCATCCGTTCTTGAAACATTCGGACGATATGATGAAGCACTGGCAAACACTGAACAATCATTCCAAATTCGTTCTGCTATTTTACCGAAACTACATCCAGATCTTATCATCAATCATAATCAATTCGGATTAATTTATATGGGTCTTGGAAATCTAAATAAAGCCTTGAAACATTATGAGAAAGCTCTTGAAATTCAACAATTAACGTTGCCCGAAAATCATAAAACACTAGTTACTCTTAATAGCAATTTGAGTTCACTCTGTGGGGATCTAGGAAACTATGATATGGCTTTAGAAAAAATGGAAAGAGCAATAGACATTCAACTGCAGTTAGGTTTAGAAGCACGTGAAGTAGATACAATCACAATGTATAGTAATTATGGACTGATCTGGGCTGAGAAATTACAGTATGATAAAGCACTGGAACAATATCAATTAGCGCTTGATCTAGTAAATCAAAATCAACCACTAATAAATCATTCAGCTCATGCGGAACTCCGTTTGAAAATTGGTCAAATACATGCTCAAAAGACAAATTATGATGAAGCTTTAAATTGTTTTAATCAAGCAATTGATATTTATAACAAAATTTTATCATCGAGAAATCATCAAGATTTTGTTCACTGTTATGTACCGATTGCCGATGTTTATCAAGATAAAAACGATTATGAAAAATCACTAGAATATTATAAATTAACCCTGGATTGTTTTCGAAATTCATCATCGGCAGAAGATACAGTTCTTGCAACAATTTATGCGAATATTGGAGTATTATATGAAAATATGCGGAATACACCAGCTGCACTCTATTATAATGAAAAAGCACTTGAAATACTTTTAAAATTATCAACAGATGATGCTGTTCGTCCGGATCTCGTTCCTATTTATGTGAATTTGGCTGGCGTTTATAGTATAGATAAAAACCCATTAGAAGCGTTAAAATATAGTGAAAAAGCATTAGAAACTGCTCTAAAATGCTTATCTACAGATCACCCATTAGTTGATAAATGTATGAAACTTGTTGGTAAATTGAGAAAAGAACAAGAAGAGCAGGCAGCAACAGCAGCAGCTCGGTTAAAAAGTAATCCTATATGCCCTATTTTGTAAATATGACCTTATCGAATTTGTAACTTTTTTTCAAACTTAACCAAATTATCAACCCTATTGTTCGATTGGCTTCGATCCAAAAAAAGACTAAGTTGGTCATTTTCAGTGGATGTGTCGTAGTTCGCCAATTCAACTTTCGCCAATGTTCGCCAGTAGACATTCGCCAACAGGCGAATGTCCAAAAAAGTTGGCGAATGTTAATGAGACATTCGCCACGAGACATTCGCCAATCGACCAATGTCAAGGGGACATTCACCATAATTGGCGAATGTCGTGCGGACACTCTCACTCTCACTCTCACTCTCACTCACACTCTCACCACTGAGGACAAGTACTGGCGACTGTCGCCGAGACATTTGCCATAAATGGCGAATGTCGTGTGAACAATGGCGAATGTCGTGTGGACATTCAGCATAATTGGCGAATGTCGTATGGGTACTGGCGAATGTCAATCTGGCGAATGTCGTGTGGACATTCGCCAGTCGCCAGTATGGCGAATGTCTATTGGCGAAAGTTGAATTGGCGAAACGCGACTTTACCTTTTCAGTTGCTGTTTATCATATACCATTGCCGAGCCTGTTTTTCAATACAACGGGTCTATAACTCAATCAGTAAGAGGCCAACTTTTATGACAACTTCAGAGTAGACGCAACTCTTTCTCCTCTATCTACTCCATTCATCAAAATTTTGCTTTGATTTGAGAGTTTTATGAGCTTCCTAATGATTTTTTTAATATTCGATGGGGCAACTCTTGCACCAACAAAGTTTTCATTATTCACTTAAACTCGATAAAACATAGTTCCATGTGGAATCCGATGAAAACACGTCTGAGATATTTAGGGAATCTCCAGATGTTTTTTTCGAAAGCAGTTTTCCAGAGAACTTCATAAAAACCCTTTCCACCTGGAACATGCGTGAAAAGTTTCAATTATAATTCAGAAGTTACACTGGAAATGCTACAAATATACGCACTGAATTCTTACTAATAAAGCCAAAAAAACCAGGGCTATAGCTCGCACAAGTTATAACTGTTTTCTTCTTTTCACTTTATAAATCAGTATGCAATCCGAAACTGCTCTGGTGGTTGTTTTGTGAAGCTGTTAGAGAGGGTCTAACGAGCGCCACACTCATCAGATAAGAATGTCGAAGAAAACGTGTGGGGAAGTCAAGCGGGAAGAGCTGACTCTAGAAGCCTACGAAGCTGTTGACGAATTTTGTTTTCGGTACGAAATTTAGCTAAGTTTACTCCTGTCAGTTTTTGCTTTTTTAAATTATAACGAACACGATCTTTTGCTTTCACTGCTTCATATTTAACTTTATCTTTTTTGATTTTCTCTCGATATTGTTTTCATATGCTCTAACACGCTTTGCTAAACAATAATAAAAGTGAAAAAAATCTGGTTACTTTTGGAATGTATCTGCTACTCACCTGAAGCATATTTTACTTGCACCCCCAATGCCGAGTAACACTGATACCAAATAAAAAGACCATGTCGTGGGTTGGATAAACGATACCACATACAAGCTGCAAAGAATAAATATAGTACTTTTCAGAACAATGATTAATACATACAAATAAGGAATTGCTCCAATAAACATGGCCACACCAGGTTCAAGAAATGAGACAAACGCTGGTGCAAATATGTTTGTCACGGTAAAACATGAATACAATATAGCGAAACCAGTATAACCAGTTCCTTTAAATATTGTTTCATTTTTCATACCCTCT